ATCTGGCTCCAATCCTCCAGTTGTATATCATGTGCAAGTTATACAGATTCAGTATAAGATTTAATATATTCAGGTTACATCAAAAAGGATTACTTGTACCAACTTCTCCCCCTTCTTCCATTGATACACGGATCTGACACAACCTATTAATTAAATAATTAGCAGTCAACATGGCTTCACCCCAATATGACCTGTTCAGACCAGAATCCTCTAGCAGTGAGTCCTTTATGGTTTGTATGACCCCTTTCTGTCTCTCAGCAACACCATTCTCAGCTGCTGTGTACGGATTTGTGCATCTGTGTTTTATTCCTAACTGTCCCGACCACTGTTGAAAACTTGTTGACATGAATTCTGAACCTCTGTCAGTTTGAGCTGACATGCCTGTTGTTTATACCTTCTTTCTATGAAATTTCTTTAGTACCTCTATTTTACTTTTTAGTAAATAGCAGAATCAAACCTCCTATAGTCATTTACAATGACCAGTGCGTACTTTGCTTCTCCCAAACTGGTTTGCATTGGCCCAACCAAGTCTGCATGTACCAGCTCTTGACCTCTTGTTGTTTGCCTTGTGCTACTCTTGCTTACTGGGAATGCCTTGGACCTGTTTTGCATACTGCACAATACAAATATGCCTTACATCCCTTTACATGTAATTCTTCTGCAAACTGTTCCATCTTTTGCAAAAGCTAGCATGGCCAAGCTTCATGTGCAAGAGATGAACACAAGAATCATATTGTGCCACATTGCCCAATGTTTGTGCACATCAAATATTTTGTCCCTGCAATACATAAAGGTTATCTTGCTTTATGCCCGTTGCACATACTTTGTGAAACACTTCCCATTTACAAATGTGGTCTCAATCCTTACTTGTCTAAACTAGAGACACTCGGCAAAGTATGTTCCATTTCAGGCACACAAAAAATGTCATTAAACCTTGTTTCGAAATATGGAATTTGCACACTGCCTCTTCCAATGACTTTAGCCTTCTGGCCATTTGCCAAGGCTACTGCATCTCCAGCAGCTGGCCCCATCCTGTAAAACAATTTAAAATTATTAACGATTGTTTGACTAGTCCCACTGTCTCTTGATTTCTGCTATTATAATATCTAACTTTTGCAACAGCAGCCTGTCCATCAGCTGATTTTCTTCCTTGCAAAGTGTTTCTGTCTTGCAAATAATTTCTTCCTTGCAAAAAGTTTTGCCTTTTCAAACATTTCTTTTTTATAAAGCACCGCCTCTGTTGCTGGGCTGTAATCTGATCTCTTTTGCTGCTCTGATCTTTGGAGAGGGCCAGTCTGTGGAATTTTCCATTGCTTTTATCTTTCTGTTCCTTGGGCCCCCTCCTCAGGATATTGTCCTCACTGGCACTTCTGCTCCTCAGCTATTAAAAAAGCTTTTAACGCCTCCAAATGTAATTCCTGCTCTGGTTTGCATTCAAATACTGCAGAAATAATGTCCCATGAGTCATTTAAAGCAGTGGTTGCCAACTGGTGGCCTATGGCCCACTAATGGTCTGTGAGAAAATTTTGGTGGTCTTCAGAGGAATGTCACTCCCAGAGCACCCCCACCAAAGCAATTAATCCAGGCTGTGCAGGAACACAAGGCTGCACCGCCCACATGGCCCACCCTCCCCGCCCACTCCTTACTTAGCAAACTTGCCTGCTAAGTTGCTATTTTTCCGACCATCAGCTGTTCTCACGGACCACCAGTGGGCTGCGGGCTGCCAGTTGGCAACTGCTGGTCTAAATGACTCTGGGACATTGTTTCTGTAGTATTTGAATGCAAACCAGAGCAGGAATTGCATTTGTAGATGTTAAAATATTAGATTAGCTAGAAAGCAGAAAATTGTTGGATTTCTTGCTTTCTAGCTAATCTTTAGACGTTCCTCAGGACTGAAGCAGTACAGACTCAGCTAGCCGATAGCAGAAACACAGATCTCTAAGTGAATCTGTGATTCTATGAGCAATTCAATCTGCCGGCCTGCTTTGCCTGATTTTGGGTAAAAGTTGCTCTTTTTTTAATAAAAATTTCAATATTTATATACATGGTGTGTTGTGAGCTAATTTTGTGAGTTTTCTTGCTAGCAAATTTTATGGGTTTGCTTGAAAGCAAATTTTATGTGACAAACTCAGCTAGCCAATGGCAGAACGATAGATCTCTGAATGAATCTATGATTCTATGAGCAACTCAATCTGCCTGCCAGCTTTGTCTCATTTTGGGTAAAAGTTGCTCTTTTTTATAAAAAAAATTCAATATTTATATAAATATTTATAATATTTACATACAAGCCATGTCCAGCCAGTCACATGACCACCAAGCCATACCCGCAAATTAGGCCACACCCACAGAACCCCTGCCTCTGTGTGTTTGTGTGTGTGTGTATATGAGAGAGAGAGAGATCTGATCTAACCCCCCTCTCTCTCCCTCTCCCCCCTCTCTCCTTCCCTCTCTCTCTCTTTCTCCCTCCCTCCATCTCTTTCTCTCTCTCTCACACACACACACCCCAACTTCAGCAAGCCACTGACAGTCAAAATTCATATTAGTGGTCCCCGGGATTTAAGATTATAAATTGGGTGGTCCCTGAGGTCCAAAAGATTGGTGATCCCTGATTTAGACTGTTGTTAACCAATACCACTTTCTGAGATTCAGAAAACTGCATTCTATGCTGTTCTAATTCAACAAAGTCTGCATATGTACAAAATGCTGCTCCAATGATTCTCCTGGTTGCAAACTGGGTCTGTGTAACTTTCTTGATAATTGCACAATATTGCATGACACACTCTCATGCACACTTCTTAACTTCAGCCAGACCTCCTTTGCAGTCTTTAAATCAGTTACATTGATAAACTGTTCATCTTCTGAACTTAAGATGATATAAGCCATTGCTTTATCATGCTGCCTCTGATCTTCAGCAGCTAATGGCGCTTGGGGTGGGTTTTCAACAGTATTTCACAGCCTTTTAGCTTTCAGGAAACATTCCATCTTTGCAGCCCAAATAATATTGTTCTGTCCCAAACAAGGCAGAGAGCTCTCCTTAATTTCCACAGCAGCCATCCTGCAAACTTTTCTCTGCCTTGTTTCTCCTTTTAAATACAGGCAGTCTCTCTCTCTCAGCCTAAATTACAATTCAGTCTTTTTGTGTATTCTGGGCACATAACCGTTAGAGTTTATTGCAGAAATCAAATCCAGAAAGCACACAGAGATGACTGATTTAGCAGGATTCATTGACTTCTTTATATACGTAATAATATATGAGTAAATTGTACAATACCAATAGTAGATTCTTCCAACGTAACACAAGCAAAGCACAAGCAGCAGCTTCAGAGCTCAGAACAGAGATAAGCCATGCCCAGATTCACTCTTTTAGTTTCTGTTTCCAATTCAGCTCCCATTGGCTGATCTATTCTTAAGCCGTTCATTGGCTGACCTTGTTACCATGTCTCTGCCAGATCATGAATATTCTGACAGATTTGATCTTAAATTTACATGCAGATTGACCATACTAAATATTTATCAATCAGTGGTTCGTTATGATAATTAGAAAATGTGATTTGTTAGGCAAGTCTACAAAGAGAATATATTCCATTCAAATTGGATCCTTCCTGACTCAGGTAATCTTTGGTGTTCTTCTAATGAGTAGAATGATTGCTTCTGTATATTCTGTCTGTATAATATGTCTGGAGCAAGAAGCAATGAGTGGAAGCTAATTAAGGAGAGAAGCAACTTAGAACTAAGGAGAAATTTCCTGATAGTTAGAACAATTAAAGTGGAACAACTTGCCTCCAGAAGTTATGAATGCTCCAACACTGGAAGCTTTTAAAAAGATGCTGGATAGCCATTTGTCTGAAGTGGTGTAAGGTTTCCTGCCTAAGCAGAGGGTTGGATTAGAAGATCTTCAAGGTCCCTTCCAACTCTGTTTATTCTATTCTATTCTATTCTATTTAGGCGTACTTTTTTGTTTGGATTCATTGACTTCTTTATATATGTAATAATATATGAGTAAATTGTACAATACCAATAGTAGATTCTTCCAACATAGACAAATATTTTTGATTCAGCAAACCATGGTTAATCAAACTTCACCTTAGCCTGATCTATGAATTCAGCTGATTAAATATAAGCATTGGAATGAATATCCTACTTTTATCCCTAAACTGTCCTCTGTTGCATTATGGAATATACAATTAATTTATTTGACCTGATTGTTAAACTGTCCTGTTGCATTATGGAATATACAATTAATTTATTTGACCTGATTGTGATGTCATATGTGGCAATAACATCTACTGGTTTAATGAGCTACAGCAGCTTTCTCTAATATGTCACCCTTTGTTGTGTTGTGGGCCTCAAACTTTCTCACTGACACTATATTGGAGAAAGCTAACACATGAGTGAAATCATGGAGCCTACATCTTTCCACAGGCTATGCCTTAGGCCAAGCACAAAACTGTAACTTTTAAATAGCATCATTTTTTTTTGCTCTAAAATATGCTCTAAAATAAGAACAATTAACAGATTTATTAACTTTCCTTATTTATATTATATTTATATTGGGGCTTATTTGGCTTTAGTACAGTAAACACTAAACTAACTTTAGATATCTTTTGGTTAATAAATTCAAATGTTTTATTTAGACTTAATTTTCATATTGTTATTTTTTCTGGAGGATTTCTGCCTGATGTCTTGCCATTTAAAGTTAAGACTGACTGAGTTCTTTGGGATAAAACATATCTCACAGGCAACTTATTTGGCTAAAAGTGTAGCCATATTTTCATCTCTCCTCCCTTTCTCTCCCTCTTATGTATTATTTATTTATTTTATTCAATTTCTCCCATCTCAAACAAGTGACTTTAGATTATGAACAATCATTAACATTTGAGCTTTAGTTATATAGACATATAACAATTATGAAGATTTATGATTCTTAATACTTGCCTATTTCAAGTAAAAAATTGAATGTATTGTTTGTTTTTTAAAATATTTTGTATTATGTCATTCAGAACCAAAAGTACAGAAGATATTGATGTATTTCTACAGAGGTGTTTTGAGTGCCAGGATGTCATGGCTCTTTACCAGCTAGTTTTGAGATCAGTTGAAGAGTCCTTGAAAAGTGATAAGGAGAAAAGACTCATGAAAGAGGCAAGTTTTCAAGGCTGATGCAATAACACATCTAATTTTATGGATTAGGCACTTTACTTAAGACAGTGTTTTTCAAACAGCATTACAATTTGAAGACTACTCTTCACAAAATTTCATAGCCAGTATGCTGGTTCGGGAATTCTGAGAATTAAAGCCAATGCATTGTAAAGTTGCCAAGCTGAAAAACACTAATTTAGTATATGGATAATGAAAGGCAAGTAAGTTCAGTTTTCTTCCTTCTAATAAGATGGGAGACTGATAACTTCCCTTGTTCCCTGGGAGTCATTGGTATACTTTTCACTAACATTTTCTGCAGGATTGGATTCAGTAATTTAAATGTCTCCTTTGCAATCTAATTCCATGATCACCGAAACCCCTTTGTTTTACATTTGTCTTTCAAAATAGTTCTTCTTTTTAAACTTTAGTTGTATAAGATTAATTATAAACTCTTGAGATTTGTGTTGAAAAATTGGTATTAAAAAAAAAGAAAATCCCAAGAATATTCAGAAAAAAAGTAAATATAGTCCCTTGTCTGTGTGATCTTATTACTTATTTAGGAAATGTTCATCTCACATAAATAACTCTGGGCAGCTAACAGCCAAAATAGTATAATAAAAATTCTAAAAATGAAACAAAAAAATTAAATTAGCCTTTTTTGTATTGTGCAAAGAAAAATACAGGTAGTTCTGAACTTATGACCATCTGTTTAGACTAGCACTGAAAAAGTGACATGATGAGACTTCATATTTATGACCACTGCTCGGTCCTTTTAATCACGTGATTTCAGTTCAGGTGATTGGCAACTGACATGTATTTAGGATAGGTGCAGTGTCCAAGGTTCACATTATCACCTCTTCTAGCCTTCCCAACAGGCTTCTGACTAACAAAGTCAAAGCTGGATTTGTTTAATAATCATGGCAAAAAACATTGTAAAATTGGAATGCCGCATTTATTAATCACATCACTTAATGAGAAAAGTTACAGTCCCAATTGTGGCCACAAGTTGAGGACTTACTTGTAAAGATACTTTGTGATCTCTGTATAGAGGATTTTTCTATGAAAAGAAACCCCAAAAAGAAATGCACATAGCTGGGACTTCTGGTTTGGGTTTCTTCGGTGACGGACCAAAATCGCGATCGTCCGCGGTTTTGATCCGTGCTTGCCACTGGAGCGCCCCGAGCTGCCTGGATTTGGGGCTGAAGCCACCCCGTAGAGGTGGTGAAGAAGGGGGATCCGTCAGCAGGGTTGAGGAGAGTCGCATTTCTCCTCCTCGGCTGGCCATTACTCCCTTTCCCAAAGGTGGTTGCAGCAGTGGTCAGAAATGGCCCCTTCAAAGAAAAACCCAACTGGACAAGATTGTGCAGGAGGAAGTTTAAAGGAGAAAGTTTGACTGACCGGGTTGAATGGAGAATATCTATTTAAGGTACCTGGAACCTGAATTTTAAAGACTAATACTATTCCTAAAAAAGATTTTAAGCTGCAAAAGGGAAAGGGAACAGAATTGCCTTTTTTTCCTCTAACATTGACAGTTTTAACTGACTTGGAACATTAAGAAGAGATTCAAATAAGAAATTAATACTAATCCACTTTGACACTAATAGGCTATTTCTAGCTGAAAATAAAGTGTCAAAGGGATAAAGAATTTTGAATAATTTAAAAACTTTCTTTAAAAAAAAAAGAAATAAAGCAGCGGAGAGAAAAAGGAAAAAAGAGGGTGAAATCTGGAAAGTGGAGGAGACCACCTGGAACTTTAAAAAAAATATTGATAGTAGAATTCTAACAAGGCTTGCAAAAGATACATTGTAGCTGAAACTTTGTTACAAGATAACAAAGCCCCTGGAAAGAGAAAGTGAGAAAAGAAGCAAGAAACAGTTTTGGATTATTGGATGATTCCTGGAACTTTGGATGGAGGATCCTAATGAAATAAAATAAAATCAATTGGGGGTTGTTTAAATTTTTTTAAAATGGCATCACTCCTTGAAGACTTAAAATGAGACTTAAAGAACAAAAAGAAGAAGAACAAGATGGAAGAGGATCTTTTGGCTTCATATTTCAATTTTTAGAAATGGAGATCTTGAACTATGAAAAACAACAAGAAACGCTGGCAGAACAAGAAGGGCGGGACAACGAAGAAGCCATCTTTAATGATCAAGCAATTCTAAGCGGGGTAAAAAAGGGAAAGGGGGGAAAGGGAGTTAAAAACTTAAGCACTGAAGCAACAACCAAAAAAAGAGTAATTTGAAAAGTAATCATAATATTAGGAAGAAGCAGAAGGGAGGATCACAGAAGGGAGAATCAGATAGAAAAGGGTATAAAAAGGGGAGAGAGAAGAAGAGAGGGAAGAAAGAAAGGAAAAAAAGCTACAAAAAACAAACAAGATATCGAGGTACAGCAAAAGCGTACAAGAATTAAAGGTATAAACCTATTTAAAAGACACAGAGACAATGGTTAAAATTTAACTTGAGAGGATTCTGCAAGGGATAGCATTGTTATATTAGAAATAGAAAAGGGTTAGAAAATATGTTAGATGATTAAAGTGAGAAAAAATTTCTATTGATATGTAGTGGAATATTTGTAAAGAGAATAAGGCTCTCAGTGATTTAAAAAGAACGTTTTAAAAAAACTGAAAAACATGGAAGATTTTTATCAGTTGACAAGATGAACTTGAATAAGAATAATAACTTCGTTGACTATTGTTAATAACTATTTGTTTTTTTATTTAAAGACAGTAATAAAGAAAATATGAAATATAGATGATTAAAGTGAAAGACAACTGATATTACTAGGTAATGTTTGTTAAAAGAAATAGAAATGTAAAAGATTGTTATTAATATTAATGGCAGAGCTGTATTTGAATAGAATAATTATTCCATTTACTATTGTTATACATACATACACAGATATATATACATATATACTTTTTTAGTGTGTATTTTAAGGGAATGTACCAAGCAGAATTTGATTGAAAATAGGTATGTGTTATAAAATAGAGGTTAGAAAATGAATGTTATAACGGTAAAGATGTAACTTAAATTTTTAAATAATATTTGAAAAAAGATACAAAGGTGTTACACTCTAGTAATTACAGAAGAAAATTTGTTTTATGAGAAAAGATAATATGAAAGTGTCAACAGGACAGACGAAAGTATAAATACATTGATTAGAAAGATTTTAAAAATTAGAAAAAGATATGTACTTGAATTAAGAAAGGAATGAGATAATTTAAAATAAGGCTATAGGAAGTAAAGAAAGGGAAAAGCTATTGAAAAAATTATGAAAATAGTTATAAGATATGGATTAGAATGTATAAGATAAATATGTATTGAGTTTATGTCTGTATGGAGAAGTGATAACCCGAGGCCACATTGTTCTCAAAAAAATATATTTTATTTGTATTTGTATGTTTTGTGAAAACTTAAATGAAACTTTTATTTTAAAAAATGCACATAGTGGTAGTTTAATAAAGCATCTCCTGGTTTTCTTAACAGTACTGTGTTATCTGTCTTGATAATCATGTAACAGAATCAATCAATACAATAAACTTGTTTATGTGTTTGTTTTATAGATTCTGTGCCTCATCAGTGTTAGTCACAATGGAATCAGTGAATCAGAACTCATGGAACTCTGCCCTGAGCTATCGTGGGAAATGCTGGCCTCCTTAATTTATAGAATGCACAAAATGTGTATCTTGACTTACAGATGTGGTTTGTTAAGGTTTCAGCATCTTCAGGTATTTTGGCAAAGAAATTAGTTACTTAATGATCTTACTGTATATTTATCAGCCAGTTTTTGCTAATGCTTTGGACATATTTTTTAAAGCTAAAAAATCTGTCCAAAATTAATCTGTCCAATTAATATATCATTATTAATGTAATTTTTTTATTTCCAACATTCACAACACTTTCTTTACAAGTTTGTTCTTAAGAAAATAAATTATTTTATCCAGTACTGATGTCTCACAAAGTAGGCAAGAAATGGCAAGTAAAATTCACTACATTCACTATTTCACTATAATAGCTTAGCATTTGTAAAAACACAAGTAGTCCTCGACTTGCAACAATTCATTTAGTGACTATTCAAAGTTACAATGGCTCTGAAAAAAGTGATTTATGACCATTTTTCACATTACAACCTTTGCAGCTTCACCATAGTCACTTGATCAAAATTCAGATGCTTGGCAAATGAACATTGCTGTGTCCTAAGGTCATGTGACCATCTTTGGTGATCTTCTGACAAGCAAAGCCAATGGGGAAGCCAGATTCACTTAACAATCAAGTTGCTAACTTATCAACCGTAGTGGTTCACTTAATAACTAACCCAAGAAAGGTTGTAAAATGGAGCAAACCTCACTTAACAAATGTCTTGCTTAACAACAAAATGTTGGGCTCAATTGTGTCATAAGTCAAGGACTACCTATACATGCATAAGCCTGGATTTTTCTTTTACTTCCTGGGAAGTGACTTGCTGATTATCGTTTATTATTCTCTTTGGAATGTTACACTAATTGCAGGGTTGGTATGCTCTGGGTTCTTTTGATTAAACAGTGTCATGTGGAGACCCAGCAAATGCATCATCTCTGTAGTAATGTTCTGGAATTAGATTCTTTCCTCCCCCCCACCCCCCCACCCCGACACAGAGAGGCCCTTGTTTGTTTAGAATGGCAGTCCCCAACATTTGCTGGTTGGCAGCCTGGGGGGAGGGAGAGGGGTACTGGACTACATGAACACATCACATCACATCAGTGTGTCCCCATACTCAGCTTGAATTGTGTGAGTGACAGGCTGACATGCATGCATATACATGGATGCGCAGCTCAACCTTTGCAAGTTGTATGTGTGTCCCCATGTGCCGGCCTGCTGTTTGTGCAAGTTGAGCTCTGCATGCTGGGCTGCAGCTCGCACAGTCCCTTCCAAATATGTCATAGCCCACTAATGTATCGCAGCCCAGAGGTTGGGGACCCCGGTTTAGAACAGTCATAAAGACATGGTTGTTCATCCAGGCTTTTGGCAGAGAGAGGGAGATGTGCTTAATTTATTTATCTTTTCTACATAATTGATTATATTGTAATTTTTTTATTTGAATGTTAGGAGCTTCCCAGAGGCATTGAGTTGGGCAGCATACAAGTTTAATATGTTACTGTTGTTATTACTATTGTTACACAATAGTACTAATATTTCTTTTCAGGCTTGGGATACAGTGAAACTGGAATATATAGAAGGAAGTCAGAATGGTTTTGCCTCTCATAGAGAAAAACTGATAGACTACTTTACCAGGCAGTTGAGGTAAGATTTTCAGATTATGAGATATAGAAATAATTTAGTGACTATTTAAATACTTAATAAATAATGTAGGTAATTTTGGTTATAACTGCCTTGTTAGCACGATTTGCCATCAGAAAATCCATCCAGTCCAGATTTTGGAATCCATGGTAAATGGCTTCACATAGTCACAATTTGGAGCATGTTTTGGAAATTTTTAAGCATGTAGAATATGGCAGATGGGCTTTTAAGTACACATGTTTTTTCACATTCTTGTTATGTGCAATTTTATTATCTGTGACTATTTGCTGTAAGAGGATACAACTATATTATATGATTGTCCTACATACCAAGTGATTGTAGTTTAAATATTACATGATAGGGCAGCTAAAGGACTAGGGTATAACTTAGGAACCCCATATTTCAAATCTCATTTCTACCACTATCTCATTTTACTATTTGTTTGCTTTTCTATTTCTTTAATTGCATCTTGCATTGCACAGTTCAAGCAAGCAATTGGGGACTAGATCTCTCCCAGCACTGGCCTATCAACACTAGGCTTAGAAGAAGCAATTAAACCAGTGTAAAACTAATGCCGCTTAGCCCTAACTCACAACTCCATTTGATCCAAATGGATACCATGGTTGAGAGTATTGAAGGCTGATATATTTTAATAGAATATTTTTGTAGAACTTTTTCTGTCTTATGCTAGTTTCCCAGGCAGGACATTCCTCATCCACTTCTGATTATCTCCTTTTATATGTTAGCTCTGATCCAGCAACAGAAAAAAAAAATCTTAATTTTATTGTGTCTGATCATTTTTACATTATCACTACAAATTTAAAAAAAATACAGTTGGAAAGACCAGACATATATTTCATGTTCAAATAAATGCCTTTGTAAAATAGTATTTATGATTCTACTGTAATTTAGATAATCCCATTTCCTTGCAATTTGCCTTCTTACCTATTCTTCCACTCCAATCATCCTAGTGAAGAAAGAGTGACATGGAGGAGTGCAGATGAATTGCCCTGGTTGTTCCAGCAACAAGGGGACAAGCAGAAGTTACATAAATGCTTATTGAATCTGTTTATATCTCAGAATCTTTATAAAAGGTAAGGATGAAGTTTTTAGACTATGGCTTTGTAGATTTCTGGTGACAAGATTTGTTTGTTAATAAACTTGGAATCTTATTGAATTAAATAAATAACAAAGGGTACATGTCTAATTATATGTTTTGGTTATTCAGAGTAAAAATTAATAAAACACTGTAAAACGTAGGGACTACTCTACTCTGCACGAGTCAAAAAGAGGGCTTTGAAAATATTTACAGACTCCTCATATCCCAGACATAAACTGTTTCAACTCCTACCCTTAAAATGATGCGATAGAGCACTGTACACCAGAACAACTAGACATAAGGACAGTTTTTTTCCTGAATGCCATCACTCTGTTAAACAAATAATTCCCTCAACACTGTCCAACTATTTACAAAGTCTGCACTACTATTACTATTAATCTTCTCATCTCTCCTTATCACCCATCCCCTCCCACTTGTGACAGTATGACTGTAACTTTGTTGCTTGTATCCTTACGATTTATATTGACTATTTCCTAGTATGATTTGATTGCTTATTGTACCCTATGATTATTTTTAAGTATTGTACCTGATGATTCTTGAGTCTTGATGAATGTATCTTTTCTTTTATGTACACAGAGAGCATTTGCACCAAGACAAATTCCTTGTGTGTCCAATCACACTTGGCCAATAAGGAATCCTATTTATCTTCTATCTAAAAGAATTCTTCCCAAATTATCTGAATGGCATATTGGATATCTTTTCTTTGTTACAGTTCAAAAGTTGTATTCTTGACAGGCAATTTGTTTTAGACTGGAAAAAGAAATAAAGAGCTCTTTGTTCTGTTTGGTATCATATATATAAAGTGTACAGAGGGAGATAGATTGCTGAAGAATATATAAGAGATAAACAATCTGGTGCTCTCTTGATGATTTAGCTGCAACTACCGTAATACCTGAGAAGGGATTGTGGGAATTGCAGTTCAGAATATTTCAAAGGCTGATTCACAGATTGCTGATATCTGCTATTTATGGGGGTGGGAAGCTGCACCAAAGGCAGAGACTGCTTTAGTTTTGGTTTACTGTGGTGCTTCTCTGTTGCTGCTCCTTCATCTTTTTGCTTAACTTGGGAAATTTAGTTCAGTGAGCAAAGCATGCTGTTTTTAATGGAGGAAATGTCAGTTTCATTCTCTGGAAAATACAGTTTTAAAATACCTAGGGGGAGAGGTAGAGACCACTGTACTATGGGATGGATAGTGATGCTTGAGTAACATGCTTGTGTATATTTGTGATTCAAAATATAAAGTTGTGTTAATTCTGGCTTCAGACTGGATTGAATTAAGCAATAAAGAAAGAGCTCCCGTTCAGATCTTTTTAAAAACCTTAAGATAAAATATCAAGAAAAGCAGGGGAAAATACTTCATGTGATGGTAAAATTTTCTTTATTTAATTTGTATACTAAAAATATTTGTGCATTCATATGTTGAAAATAATGGTTTGTCCAAAGTCATATGCAGTACATAGTAAAAAGAGGCCCAGAAACTGCTGTAATTTCAGAACCAATATCTACAAGTGTTGAAACATTGTAAAGCCAACAAGCTCTGACCATGAAACATTCCCAATCTCTTCTGAGTGTGGCAGAAATAATCTGGTTCCAAAATATGATGTTCTAATAAGGAACACATGTTTTAAGATTAGATCTCTTTTATAAGTTTGAACACCCTATTTTAATCTTAGAATAGGAGATTCTGAGTTCAGAATCTTTTCACTGCAAAATGTGTTGAATTTTGCATTTTGGTTTTTTATATTGATTTATGTTTTTTTAAATTTGCCATTAAAAAATTTATATTTGGAAGGGGGAGCTATTTGATTTATGCTTCTTAGGGTGTCATGCCCCTGGTGGAGACTGACTCTGAGGAAGAGTAGGAACAGCCAACAGGGAGTGGAAGTGTGGCTCCAGAGGTGGTGGAGAAGCCTGGGGTAGGGCAGAGGCCAGCTGAGCAATCAGAGGAGGATCCAGGCCCATCCCCTATCCATCCTAGGGCACACAAGGAGGAGAGGATCAGGGACAAGCATGGTCTATGTGGGAGGAGAGGGCCATTATCCTCCTCATGGGTTGCAGCTGTGAGCTCTGTATAAGAGTTTGAAACTGCGTGTTCACAGGCGCTGAAGTCGAATTAGTGTTTTCCTTGGATGAGCTTTATCTTTGTTGGTGTTCTTCCCTTGGGCTCTCCCCGGGTATCTTCCTGGAATGTGTGATTAATTATCTTGGTTTGCCTTGGAACTCTCATCAATATGGTTTGTTTCTGGTTTCCTTTTGCTTCATTATCTACTTTTTGAATTTAAACTGACTAATAAAACAGCGAAGCTAAGTTGAAGGCATTGCAAGACCTTGATTCATGTTTTAGTTTTTGTGTTATTTATGAGACACTACAGGTCATCATATTTTGACTTCAGCCACTCCTTCAACTTATTTTTGCTTTTTGTGGGGTGACCATGGATCAGCTCAGAGCAGACAATGCCAGTTAAGCCAGCAAGTGGCTCTTTTGACTACACAGGTGGCACAAATGCAAGTGTCTGGCCATGCTGCAAATGCCCAGTGGCAGTGCCAGATAAGTTTGATGGTTCGCTGGCCCAATTTCCAGCATTTTGGGGGCAGTGCCAGCTTTATATGAGCCTTCAGCCTGAGGACTTCCCCACTGACCGGGATAAGGTGGGGTTTTTGATTAGTTTGTTGTCAGGCTCTGCAGCACGTTGGGCGATGCCTCTGTCGACCCAGCCCAACCAGGTGTTGGACAATTATGCCGAATTTTGCCGTCAGTTCCAGGCCATGTTTAAGGACCCTGTTCGGAGCCAAACAGCAAACAGACGTTTGAGAGAGTTGAAGCAGGGGCGTGGCTCACTCATGGATTATATTGCGAGTTTTCGGGTGGTTGTCCAGGATGTACAATGGAATGAGGCAGCACTATTAGATCAGTTCCAGGATGGTTAGTCGTCAGAGCTCCTGGACAAGTTGGCGCACACTGAATGCCCTCACACCCTTCAGGAGCTCATGCATCTGTGTCTTCATATCGATGCTAGGCTTCAGCAGCGACGGGTGCGATGACGGATGGAGACTGCATCTGTTCCCAGCAAGACGGCGCCCCTGGTGGAAGTGCCTTTGGAGGAGCCCATGCAGTTGGGGGCTGTCCGCCCTTGCCTGACTCAAGTAGAAAGGGATAGATGTCGTTGTGATGGTTTATGCCTCTATTGTGGCAATTGAGGCCATTTTGCGGTCAAGTGTCCTGTTACGACATCCACAGCAGCAGACGCCAGCAGTGGTGGGAAATGAGCATCGCTTAACCTGTGGAGGTCTGTAGGTCGGGTTGTAAAGTCCTTACATCGCTCAACCTGTGGAGGTCTGTAGGTCGGGTTGTAAAGTCCTTAGGCCCACCATCTTTACCAACCTTGCCACCCTCGCCACCTTTGACATCTTTGACATCTCCACCCCAGTCGTCATTGGTGAAGCATCTTGTGCAAGTGTGATTGTGCTTGGTGTGGGGAGCAGTAGAGATCCAAGCCTTGGTTGACTCGGGTCACAGCCAATTTAATGGATGCTCATTTTGTCAAAGCAGTGGTTCATTTCTCAGCAACAGGTGTCCCCACCAGTAATGATAGAGACGATTGATGGTCGGCCCCTTCGTTCAGGACCTGTGGTTGCTGCAACCAAACCCCTTTGCATGCGTGTTGGGCAGCATGTGGAGGAAACCGTGTTTTATGTTGCCGCAGTGCCTCATTTTCTGGTGGTGCTGGGTTTGGAGTGGTTACAGGCCCATGATCCACAGATTGTCTGGTCGTCTGGAGCTGTGCAGTTCCTTGATAGGAAGTGTGCCAACCATTGCTTGCGATCCTGTACAGGGAGTGTGGCTATGCCCATGGACCTGGATCTACCTGTGGAGTTGGTGGACTTTGCTGATACGTTTGAGGAGAAGGAGGTGGATCAGTTGCCCCCGCATCGGGCGTATAACTGTCCAATCGACTTGTTGCCCGATGCAAAATTGCTGGTGGGTCGCATATACTCCCTGTCAGAACCGGAGTTGGCTGTATTGTGGGATATGTGGCATCCTGTGGGATCTGTCGACAAGCCAAATATGTTCCTGGTGTGCCCCCTGGTCTCTTGCAGCCCTTGTCCACACCAGAACGACCTTGGGGGGCAGTTTCATTGGACTTCATCACTGAATTGCCACCATCGAAAGGTGCTACAACCATTTTGGTGGTGGTGGTATGTTGATTAAAATGGCCCCCTTTATTCCGTGCGTGGGTCTTCCAACGGACAAGATAACGGCTCAGTTGTTTATCTCCCATGTATTCCGGTTGCATGGGTTACCAGACCGAACAGTATCAGATCGGGGGGTAAAATTTACGGCACACTTCTGGCAGACACTACTCGCGAAACTGCAGGTTCAGGCATGTCTGTCGTCTGCTTATCACCCCGAAACTGATGGGGGGACAGAGAGAGAAATTGCTATTTTGGAGCAGTTCTTCTGCTGTTTCAGCAATACTCAACAAGACAATTGGGTGGAAGTGCTGCTGGTGGCAGAATTCGCTTATAACAATGCTCAACATGCATCCACCCATGTGTTCTTTGCTAACTATAGTTTTCATCCATGACTTTTGTCTTTAGCCCCATCTGATTCCCCATTTCTGGCAGTGGATACGTTTTGCAAGAGTTAAAAGCCATGCACCACATGGTCCGCAATCAACTAGAGAGAGCCAAGGAGGACTACAAACATTTTGCAGACCGATATCATCTCAATGTTCCGCCTTTAGCAGTAGGCAATCGGGTTTGGCTCTCTACTCGATATTTACCAATGACACGGCCATAGAAAAAGCTCGATCACCATTACTTGGGACCTTTCCTGGTTGAAGTGGTGATCAATCCTGTGGCTTTTCATTTCTCCCTGCCACGGACCATGCATATCCATCCTGTTTTTCATCGCTTCCTGTTAGTCCCTGCTTCGGCCGACAGTCTGCATAGATCAGCTCCTTCACAGCTGGGCTCAGTAGCCCCTCTGGGAGAGGTGGAGTATGAGGTGGAGAGTATCTGAGATTCACACCAGTTGCAGGGCCAATTTCAATATTTGGTGGCAAATTACCCATAACAATATGGAAACTTCAATTTGAAAAAATTGCTATGGCGTTAAAAAAAAACTAGCTATGTAACAAACTTTAAAAACTGATACAACACCTTATGCTGACAGATGAAGGCAGAATGCACCAATTATCAGTGCAAGCAAGAGAAAAAACTCCTATACACAAAATCCATTGCATTATAATAGTCTTCTGTAGTATTACAGCTAGAGAACAGAACGTGCCAATCAAGAGATGGTAGGTTGGCAGATATAAGATCATAGTTGGCTTTTTTTGAAGTTGTATTTGGGGAATCCATCATTATAATCCTCTTTGTGGGGGCGTAAATTTAGACAAAAGTCAATCATGCTGTGGTCACTGTTTGAAAAGGGTTCTTCTATTTGTAGGCCATAGATTGAGTTTGAGCTGTTGCAGATGAGGTTGAGGTAGTTGTTGAGTCTAGTGTTGTTAGTTACTAATTGATCTAGTCCCAGTGTCATAACAGCATTGTACAGGGTTGCATGTATAGGTTTGGATGTACATTCATTTAGGGTCCAATTTATAAGAGGTAGATTGAGGTCACCAATGAAAATAAGAGGCTCTGGGCACGAGGTAGCCCATGTTAGCAGTGAAGTTAACTTGTTAGTTTGTTAGCTTGTTTGCATGAACTATGTCATAATCAGGGGTTCTGTAGCATAGTAAGAAGGAGATTGTGGTGTTTAAGGACAGTTCACAGACTATGGTCTCTGGAAGAGCAAGCTCCTGTGTAATTTGAATTTTTTTTAGATTTAGGGACTATATATAGAAGATAGCAACTTCACCTCCTCTACAGATTTCGCGATCTGACCGATAAACGTGATATTCTCTGATTGTGGTAATGGAGTCTGGAAAAGATGCATTCAACCACGTCTCACAGACAAATATGTCAAATGTGGCCGTGCTTAGTAGGATGAGGAATTCATGCATTTTGTTTGCAAGGCTTCTTGCATTGAGTAGTTTGCATTTAAGATATGTAGTAGTGGGTCTAGGGGATGTAAGGGGCCTGCATGTCTAAAGTTGGATGTTGCAGTGATGGTTATTGGGACGTAAGTTGAAGGTCTTGCTTTTGATATATTATGTGCGGTAGTCAATGTATTTCCTAGTTCATGGAGTCGTTGAGTTCAGAACATAGTTCACGGGATTGTACACATTGTTGTAAGGTTAGGTCAGGACAAGAACGAAGATTCTTACAGTTGGTATTACTCTTGGTGAGTGAATCATTTTTGCAAATAACCCTGCAGAAGCGTGGAGCCACCGAGCCGTCACTGTTTTTGAACTCTGGGCCAATGTGGGAAATGTTGAGTATTTCATCAGAGGAGATAGTTGATGCTTGATAGTCTCTGATGATGTTGCCGACATTTGTGATGTCATCATTGTCATTGTTGTCCTCTAGACCAAATAAGATGGCTGTTGGGATGCTTCTGTTCACGCTCAATGGCATTATTATTATGTTAAATAATAATAATAATAATAATAATAATAATAATAATAATAATAATAATAATAATATGAGAAGCATTATTTCCTAACAGAACAGTGCAGTTCTATAAGAAGGACAGCTACAATCTTGACCACTAGCTTTCCAAATTGTATGCTAAGCATTTGAAGAGCAGTGTGGCAGGGATAGCTTATAAGATATATGGGCACCTGTTGAAAATGTTTATATTTCAGTTCCTTTATAAAATTGGAAAGATATTCGTTTATTTTGTATCCCCAGTTTGGTTCATACATTGTTTTATTTTTTTAAAAAAAAAACTATGAGCTACTTATTGTGGTCCAATTCACCTATAAAGCAAAGCTGTTGTGGTAAACCAAAAGCAAACAATCTATGTAAATACTTCACACAATATATTAACGTGACCAATAAGATTCTTTGAATGTTTTAATGAGTTTAATTAGTATTTACTGCTTGTAGGGGACATTTTGCAGAACTACTCAGCTACTGGCAGCTTCTTGGGAAAGATAAGAGCTCCATGGCAGTAGAATATTTAAGTTCTCTGAAGTTATATGAGAAAAATTGTGAAGGAGAAGAAAGCATGATCTGTTTGGCTGATCTTTATGAGACCCTGGGGCAATTTCTAAAAGACCTAGGTCTTCTCAGTCAGGTAAGTACCTCTCCAGAAAAAAAGACACTTTCAGATCTCTGTTTTTCCAGTGGCAGATGCAGAATCAGATTTCCGTAGAAACTTGAGTTTTTACTTGAACAACTTTAGTCTTTCATTTAAATATGCTTCTTATTTTTCATGATTATGGAAATTTGACAATAGATATAAGATATCTGTATCAGTTTAGCCATGTGATTGATTAATCAATGCAACTGATTTCATGTTATCATTTTTACTGAACCAAATTAAGCCTAGGGCTGTGTGTGTGTGTGTGTGTGTGTGTGTGTGTGTGTTACTGCCTATCCTTTTCTAAAAAGAAAAAAAAAACACCTCACCTTCTTCACAGGCAATTGTTCCATTGCAGCGCTCTCTGGAGATTCGAGAGACTGCCCTTGATCCAGATCATCCAAGAGTGGCTCAGTCACTTCATCAGTTAGCTAGTGTTTATGTGCAATGGAAGAAATATGGCAATGCTGAGCAGTTATATAAACAAGCACTTGAGATCTCTGAAAATGCTTATGGATCTGATCATCTCAGGATAGCTCGTGAACTTGATGCTCTGGCAACATTATATCAGAAGCAGAACAAGTAAGGAAAAACCATATTGTATCCAGAACCTGTCCCCGCTTCATTTTTAACAAGATCTTTCTGCTAGAATTTTCTTGGTATTGAATTGGCCAGGGAATTGGGTTTGAGAACATTGGGGGAATAGACAGGGAATGAAAGTTTTGAGGATGGGGAATGATTTTAAATAGTTAATTATTGTAAATAATCTTATGGAAACCTGGGAGAAAAATTAGGGAGGATTGGAAAGTAGTACAGTTCATAAAACAAATGTGATTGTTGATTGGTTTTACTATATCTTAGTTTATGTGTTATCTGCCTCATTCATCATGCAAAACACTGTAACTGATATTTTTGAAATATCATTTTAAGGAATTGCTTCAATTTTGTTTCATCTTAGCTTATCTACAAAAATTAAATGGATTTGCACGAAGTTAATACACTGATAGAAAGGAAGGAGAAAATATCAGAATTCATAAGCTACACTAGGAACTAAAAAAATCATGGAAAAAGAAAAAGAATAGAAAATATTTCTGCCAAGAAAATAATACAGATTAATTCATAGAATCATCAGAATTCAATCAGAAGGAGAGTTCAAGTTCAAACATCCATTTTCACAGCTAATACTTACATGAAACCTATACATTAACCTGTGTGTCTGCATTGTGCCAGATTTCTGTGGGCTATTAATGACAGAAGAACTGAAAGAAAAAAACATAAAGATGAAATTAAAAGTCAGGAAAAAGTTTAAATCTGTATATGTTGATGCCTGCAGCAATATTGTAGAAAAGTTATATAGTACTGTATAGTACAGGACTTTTGTTGACTTTTGTTGGAACTAGTACCCATTATATCCTGAGAAATTATGATCTTCTATAAATATTCTACTGCTAAAACTTCTGTTGATCTACTAGTTATTATTAATTACATTTTTCATTTTAGATTTGAACAGGCTGAACATCTTAGAAAGAAATCCTTCAAAATTCAGCAAAAAATTGCAAGATGGAAAGGCAGTTTGGTAAATACATGTAACTTCACTGTATAGTGTTCAATATCTTTATATAAGCAATGACTGTTGGCTTGAGTCATCATTTTTTTAAAAATGACAAAGCTGTTCTCAGATTGGCATTCTTGTTAGTATGTAGTCAATATGGATTAGAACAGGAGTCGCCAACTTTTTGGACCTCAGGGATCAACTCATAATTTTAAATCCCAGGGACCTCTAATATGAATTTTGACTGACGGTCAAAATTGCTGACATTGGTGGGAGAGATTGAGAGAGAGATCTGATCTAACCTCTCTGTCTCCCTCCCTCCCTTTCCCTCTCTCTCTCTCTAACACACACACACACACACACACACACACACACACACAGAGGTGGGGTGGGATTCAAATTTCTTAACCAGTTCTGTGGGCATGGCCTAATTTGTGGGTGTGGCTTGGTGGTCATGTGACTGGGCGTGGTTTGCATGTAAATATTATAAATATTTATGTAAATATTGAATTTTTATAAAAAAGCAATTTTTACCCAAAATCAGGCAAAGCAGACAGAAGATTGAACTGCTCACAGAATCACAGATTCACTTAGAGATCTGTGTTTCTGCCATCAGCTAGCTGAGTCTGCACTGTTTCAGTCCTAAGGAAGGTTCAGCTCTGCTTTAAAAGCAGAGCTGAAGATCTAAAGATTAGCTAGAAAGCAAGAAATCCAATGGTTTCCTGCTTTCTAGCTAATCTAAATCTCCTGACAGAACACCTGATAGTTGGAAAAAGGAAAAATAGCAATTTAGCAGACAAGTGTGCCAGATAAGGAGTGAGTGGGCGGGGAGGGAGGGCCATGTAGGTGGTGCAGCCTGGATTAATTGCTTTGGGGGGTGTTCTGGGGGTGACATTTCTCTATGGACCACCAAAATTTTCTCTCAGACCACCAGTGGGCCACAGCCCACCGGTTGGCGACCGCTGGACTCATAGACCTCTGAGGTCCATTCCGACTCTAATGTATTTATATGGTTTTGGCGATTTCAGTAAATTGATTCAAATGTCATTTACAAATACAACTTGAAACTGTTATATCACGTTAGCTATATTAAATTTCCATACCAAAATAGATTGTTTTGATTCTTTTTTCTCAAAAAGTTTTTAAAAATCAGAAGTATTTTATAATTCTGAAAAAATGTCTAGCAGTACTATCATTCCTACTTATTTTTCTTTCTCCCTCTCCCTCTCTCTCTCTATTTTTAAGAAGGGAGAATTTTCATGCAAATATTCTCTTTCTTTTTCTGCCTGTCTCTCTCTCTCTCTTATCTAAATGGATAGGTGATTTGGGGGATATATTTATATGTTTTATAGTATAATTTAAAATTCCCTTTCATTGCTTTAAAATATAGTATAAACTGGAGAGGTAAGTTAGTAATGCATGCATTTTTTGTGGAACAATCGATATTCAAATTCTGTCATGGATTCTACAGGTTGACTCCAAGCACGTTTTCCCTTAGTTTTACTATTGGACATTAGAATATCAAGGCAATAATTTCTTCATTTGCTTTTAGTATGGATTTGCTCTTCTTCGTCAACGATCTTTGCAGCTGGAAGAGTTGACTTTAGGTAAAGATACCTCAGACAATGCTCGAACACTTAATGAGCTTGGAGTTCTCTACTATCTTCAGAATAATCTGGAGTAAGTAATAACCAGGTGACAACTTATATATCTGAAGGGTTTTTTGGAAGCTAACTAACTAGAATGGTTGCATTAATTCTATTCAAGAGTTCCATTTTTGGAAGTAGTGATATTGAATAGCTTTTTAATAAACATTAAGAATATCAAAGTTTCTACTTAGAGGATACCAAAATTAATGTAATTAAAATGCACAACCTTTTTGCTTGCATTAAGTCATTACCTTTGTAATAAAAACATGAAATGTTGAGTTTATCAAAGTCTTAAAGGAAAACTTGATATTTATTTGCCAGTACAAAGCATGATATTAAAGATAGCTTTATTTTTATGAAGGTCACACAATACCCTATGGTATGAATTCAAAATATTTTGGCCAATCACATTTTCTAGATGACTCCAGAATTAGATTTCAGACATGTTATGTTCAGTATGCGTGATTTGATTTGATTTAATTTACACTGACCATCTTGCTGTTTGATTATTATTTATTATGCCTTTTTTCTGATAAAAAAATCTTAAGAATTGACCGAGCAGACCAGATCTCTAGCTGTAATTCATGGAAGGGAAAGTAACTATTTTTATTAATAAACCATACGTGTCTCAATTTATACAGATACTAAATTAAAAAGAGTGATTTGCTAATAATAATAATCAGGTACATAGAACTTAGTAAGTCAAAACTAAACTTATACCCTGTTTCTCCAACAATACGGCCTCCCCCAATAGGAAGTCCCAGCATGTTTTATAGGCATGAAATGAAATTAAGCCCCTTCCCCCAAATTAAGGCCTATATTAAAACATGCGAAATGAGGGGGAATGGTGGGAGGGCTTGCCGTTAGGAAGTACTTTTGTTGCACACCCGGATATGGTGCTGCCTGCGTTGACCCTGATACAAAGTGCCCCACCAAGGTCAACATCCAAGCCGTCGCCACCCGCCCACCCAAAGATGCAAGGTGGGGGATTAAGTCACCCCCGAAAAGACAGCCTAGCCATTTTTCGGGGCTCAAAAAAAAAATAGGACCTGGCCTTATTATATGAGAAACACGGTAGCAAGCTGTGTGATTTTCTAATAATACATTATTTTTCAACTGGAATGTGACATGACTTAATTATTATCTTGAATGCAGATTTGTTGCTATCCAGTCATTTTTTGAGGATGAGGGCTCACCTGATCTTTATGACTGAGCCACTGAAGGGAGCCCTCCCCCCCCCCCCCAAAAAAATGTGTCTTCTTAGGTTTTGACTGTGGCATTAGCCATGACTTTAGGGCAGGGATGGTGATATGACTATCATTATATGCACATTTCTGGTGGCATGGGTGTCAAATTCTCTGTATCACGTTGTTGTCTTGTGATGTTTTGCAATGTTTTCCCCATTCATGGAGCTGGGGTGGGCATGGCCTGCGGGCCAGTCTGACACTCTGCTCTAGGGCATTACTAGTTGAAGGACCCTGTTTGTTAGGCTAGGCCATAAGGATCAGTGGAGATTGCTGTTCACTTACGCTCCTCACTTCAAAGTGCTCTTGAAGATCACTCAGAAGCAATACCTGGTTCAGAAAGCAGCAGCACAGATAGGGCTGGGATTTCTGGGTTTGCAAATATAATGTGCCACTTGTGTAACTGCATAAGTTCCCAGTTTACTTTGACTGCAATTAAACGTGCTAGTTATCACCTTTAAAGCTTTATATGACACAGACTAAATTATTTTTGGGAATACCTATCCCTGACAGATTCTGCCTATCCTGTCAGATTGGATAGGGTAATCACACTCTAAGTCCCTTCCCACTTCTAGTGATGCTTGGAACATGCTTTTCCATAGATCACCTGCCTTGTAGAAGGTATCTGGCAGGGTTTTTTAGCTTTCTGGAATTTAGCTTTCTTGAGACTATCAAGACCTATATCTATTTATGTCTGATTGTTGGGGATTTCCTAGGGGATAATTGAAATATCAGGTTTTAGGTTTTGTGTTATGGTTTTATGAACATCCCAGAGTTGTGCTTTAAGACAGGCAGCCATACAAGTCTTTTGAACAAAATAAATGAATGAACAATAAATTGCAGTTATAACTAGCTTGACTTCAGGGGATGAAGATTTCCATTAAAATAAATTAGCAACTTCTCTGTTTGTTTGTGTTACTATGGTGCTGTGCTGTTGTAGCCTGTTGGGCGCCGGCCCCTCCAGCAGCCAAATCAAAGAAGGAGGAGGTGGCATGGGAGTCAGAGTTAGCATCAGGGCAACGTGGGAGCTCCAAGGGTGAAGAGGGAATGGAGCTGGAAGAGAGAGAGAGACAGAGGCGGAGCCTGGGCCATCAGTCATCCCTCAGTGCCTGACCTGCAGCTGCACAGAAGGCAGAGAAGAGGAAAGCAATGGAAAACCATGGGCCGATCCTGGGGAAGAGCCACTGCTGCTAGTGAGGCCCCACCCTAGCTCTAGGGATAAAAGACAGGGGGCAGTGATGAATAGGTGTGGCAGACAACTATTCATCTTGGACGAACTTGTTAGCCTGTGAGAGAAACTTTTTGCTGGGGCTGCCGGCATTCCTAATAAACAAATCTTTTGGGTTCACATCAGAGGATTTGTCATGTTTGGGGAGCTGGGTCAGAACATGTGCCATTGACATGACAATATACACTGATACTTATTTTTAAACTGGCTGATAGGACAGCAGAACTTTTCTTGAAACGTTCTTTGGAAATGAGAGAACGGGTTCTTGGACCCAGTCACCCTGATTGTGCCCAGTCACTGAACAATTTAGCAGCCCTCAACAATGAAAAGAAGAGCTATTCCAAGGCAGAGGAATTGTATGAGCGAGCATTGAACATCAGGAGAAAAGCATTAGCACCTGACCATCCTTCTTTGGCTTACACTGTGAAACATCTAGCTGTGCTTTACAAAAAGCTGGTAAGTATTGATGTCTAATATGTTTAATATTATGGATACTTTAGAATGCCAGGAATTTCTGATTATTGATCATCACTGGGTTGGGCTATTGGCATTAGTGCTCCAAGCTGGGAAACAAAATGTTATTTATCTCTGATTATGTGCTTCTGGGTATTAATATACCAAAGTGTTCAAACTGAAATTTTATTTCAGAAAGATTATTCATTATCTTTCTCCAGAACTATGAAAGCAGTGCATTCGCTCTCTTTGTGAGTCTATGTAGTTGTACATGTGTGCTCATTTCTGTGTCGGTGTGTACCCCTACAAAAATAAATGTATGTATACATAAAAATCAGTTGGTTTAGTTGCAAAATTTAGATTATTTTTTTTAATTAAAATTTTTATTTTAAACAAACATTGACAAACAAAACATAAAACCATCTTCCAGTTACATACAGTGTGTCGGTTGGTTACAAGTCTTTTGTGCTTCATCTCCATAGTCCTTACTTATAGTTTGAATAAATTCTCATATTATCCATCTAGTATATGTATATATATATATGTATTATTATCATTGTTAATAATTTATTTGACTATAATTATTATTCCATTATTTTATGCGAGACATTCAACATTTTGGATTAATTTATATTATAACGTTCAATCCCCCATCATAAATCCATCCAATAATAATACATCCTGATGTTATATCCTCTATAATTCTATTATCTTTGTATTATAAAGTTATCTAAGATATATCATTTCCATATTTTTTATCTAACCATTGATAAAATAAATCCCATATTGTTTATCTTCTTGTTCTCTAATTTCAAATGTCAATTTACTCATTTCAGCACATTCCATTATTTGCTTATTCTCTCATTTTTCCAATTTTTCGAAAACACAATTCTGGCTGCTGTTAATACATTTACAATCAAATATTTCAATTCTCTACAATATATTTCTGGTAAAATCAGTCAATATGTCTTTTTGTCATTTTTTCCAACCATGTGTGGATTGTAGTTCAATATCTTTTTGCCTCTACACACATCCACCACATATGGTAAAATGAATCTGATATCTGATGACATTTCCAACACTTTTCAGATTTATTCTTAAATATTCTTGCTATTCTCGTCGGGGGTAAATGCCATCTGTAAAACATCTTATACAAATTTTCTTTATATGCTGTTGACATTGTCATTTTATAATTTTGAGACCACAATTTTGGCCATTTCTCTAAATCAATCCCGTATCCAAAATTTCCCTCCATACAATCATTGTTTCTTTAACTTGCTCTTTCTTTAATTTAAACTCTAGTAAATGTCCATGAAGTTTTTTAATTACCTTTTCAGTACCTGTCAAAATTTTATCTAAATCAGTCAACTTATCATAGAAACCTTCTGTTTTAAGGTCTTTATTAAATATAGATTGTATTTGTACATATGGAAACCAATTCATCTTTATACCTTGTTCTTCTAATATTTGCATAGATTTAAGTTCACCTTTTTCATTCAATATCTCTCCATATCTAACTGTTTGTTCCTTTTTATATGTTATTGGATAAGAAAAAGCTTCAATAGTAGATAACCAAAATGGAATTTTCAAATAATATTGCTTTTTAATCTTCTCCCAATTTAATAACAATGCCTCTCGAATATAATGTCTTCTAAAATACCTCTGCATTTTAGTTCCCTTATACCAGCGGAAGGCAATAAAATCAATAATCTACTGTTCTAAAGTCAATAATCTACTGTTTCTTAATGTTATCCATTCCTTTATCCACATCAAATTTGTCGCCAGATAATACAATTCCCAATTTGGCAAAGCAAAGCCGCCTCGTATTATTGCATCTTGTAACAATTTAAGTTTTATTCGTGCTTTCTTTCCCTGCCAAATATATTTCAACACTATTTTATTTAAATCTTTAAAGTACTCTTTCCCTAACCTAATTGGAATTGTCTGGAATAAATATAAAATTCTAGGTAATATGTCAATCTTAATTGTTGCTATTCTCCCTATTAATAGTTGTAAATTTAAATTTAATAATAGTTGTAAATTTTTCCATTTTGCTAAATCTGTCACGATCTGTTGTTTGAGTTCATGATAATTATTCTCTTTGAATGTTCATCTTCAAAGTTTCCACCAATTCTTCCCTCCGTTTTACTAACATGTTCTTTGTCAAAATCTTTGTTTTATCTTTGTTTATCTTTAAACCTGCTACCGTTCCATATCCCTCTATCTTTTCTATCAATTTACTCGCTGTTTCTAATGGATCTTCTAATATAAAAACCAGATCATCTGCAAATGCTTGTAATTTGTATTCTTCCTTTTTAATTTTCATTCCTTTTATTTCTTTCTCTTCTCTAATATCTCTATTTAACACAAACAACAGAGGTGACAGCGGGCAACCTTGTCTTGTACCTATCAATGCATTCTGTCAATTCCCTATTTATCATGACCTTTGCGGTTTGTTCATGATATATAGCTTCTATGGCTTGGATAAAATTCTTGCCAAAGTCCATATGTTCCGATTGTAATAACATAAATCTCCAATTTACATTGTCAAAGGCTTTCTGTGCATCTAAAAATATCAGAGCCATTTGTTTTTCAGGATGTGCCTCATAATATTCCAATGTGTCCAGAATAATTCTCATATTAACTTTAATGTGTCTCTTTGGTAAAAACTCATTTTGATCAGGATGAATAAAGTTATTTAAATATCTTTTGAGTCTTTCTGCCATTATTGAAGTGAAAATTTTATAGTCTGAGTTCAATAGGGAAATAGGTCTATAGTTCTTGATTTGTTGCAGGTCAGCTTCCTCCGTTGGCACAAGTGTAATATATGCTTCTGTAACATGACTTCATTCAACGATTCCTGAAATGTCTTATAAAATTCAGCTTGCAATCCATCTGGGCCAGGTGCTTTTCCATTATTTTCTCTTTTTAATGCTTCAGTTAACTCCATCATTGTTATATTTCCTTCTAACATCATTTCAATATCTTTGAGGTAAATTCGCTTTCTGCAGATATTGTTTAATTCTTTCCTCTATGTTCTCTTGCTCCTAAATTTTTCCATAATAGCCCTGTATATTTTTTTTTCTATTTCCATAGCAAATTTGCCCTTGATCATCTATCAATTGTATTATTTTTCTTGATTCCTTCTCCTTTTTCAATTTATATACTAACTATCTACCTGGTTTATTTGCATCTTCAAAATAATTCTGTTTAGCGCCTCTAATTTTCTGTGCTAATTCCTCTTTTTCCATTAGCCTCATTTTATGTTTAACTGTGTCCATTTGTATTTTAATCTCCTTTTTTAGTGGTGATTTCTGTAACTCATTTGCAAGTCTCTTATAATCATCCTCTAGTGTTTTCAAAGCCTGTTTTTTCTTCTTATTTCTTATCTTTGTATAATCTATTATCAGACCCCGGGAATAGGCCTTCATTGTATCCCAAAGGTTTTGTATTGTTGTATCCTCCGTTTTATTTTCTTTAAGAAAGAAATTCAATTCTTTCTCCATTTTCTGTGTAAAATCCTTTTCTTTTAGTATAGTATTGTTTAAAATCCATCTAGATCTTTTCCTTTGTCCCTTCCACTTAATTGCCCAAGTACCTGCTTCTATATCAATTTCCTGTATAATAGTAATCAATTCTGTTGACATCCACATCATATTTATTCATATCTATCTATGAATGTCTATTTGAATAAAAAGTATATTGTCTATTTTTAGTATTTCTTTCTCTCCAAGCATCTGTTAAATTTAATTCATCTGTCATTTTGAAAAAAGATTTTGGAAGAGTCTTTCTACTTTGCTTTATTGTTTTCTGTGTTTTATAGTCCAATTTCTCTTTAACAATTCCATTGAAGTCCCCCATCATGCATATATTATCATAGTCTAGATCAATTGTTGTCCTGTGTAATTTCCTATAGAATTCTTCTTGATTATCATTTGGAGCATAAATTGATATTAAAAGTAATTTCACATTATTGTCTATTATTTCCACCATCAAGATTCTTCCATCATCATCTGTATAGATTTGTTCCGCTGTAATTGTGTTTCTAATATATAAGACTACTCCTCTTTTCTTGGATCGTGTCAACAAAGTAAATATTTTCGCTAGTTTTGACTGCATCAGTATTTGTTCATATTGTTTTTTAATATGCTCTTCTTGTAGGCAAATTATGTTGAATTTCAGTTCTTCTAATTTATGAAATATTTTTCTTCTTTTAACCACCGAACTAAGACCATTTATATTAATTATAATCATTTTTTTCTCTTCCATATTTATACTTTATAAGAGGGATTTACTGCTCTAGTAGATTTGTGTTCTCATTGTTCTCTAGGTTCCACTCTGCCTCCTAATGCACCTTGTTCTTTTTCAATCACTTCTAGGCATTCCTCTTGGAATTTAATTATTACTTCTTCTCTTTCCCTCTCTTCCTCTTTCCCTCTGAAGAATTCTGCATAAAATAATTCTGCTTTTTCAATTGAATCTATTCTATGTCTTTGTTCTTGCCATGTAAACACAAGGCCTTCTGGTATCAGCCATCTGTAATTCACGCCTTTCTTAAGTAATATTTTTAGTCAGGAATTGATATTCTCTTCTCATCTCTCTCATTCTTCTAGGTATTTGTTTCAGAACCACAATATCTTTGTCTTTATATTTCAGTGTTTTCTCTCTTGCTATCTGTAGCATTTGCGTTTTGATAGCTTTCTTCGTGAACCTTATGTGTACCTCTCTTGGCAATTTATTTCTCATTGCGTATCTTGTAAAAACTCGGAACACTTCATCTATTCCATCCATCATCTTCTCTTTGGTTATTTCCAGTGCTTTTGCCAGGATTTCTATCATTATTTCTGCCAAGTTTTCTCCTTTTTCTTCCTCTATATTTTGAAATCTGAGATAAAATTCTGATCACTTGATTTCCCATCCCAGCATTTCAGTCTTATCTTGTTCGTCCATGCTCAATCTGTTATCAATATCTCTAATTTTCTTATCTCCTTGTTCTACCTTTT